CCCTCCGGCACCCGGTGAACTCCAGTACCTCTGGTGTCATCCCAACCTCCAGCAACCGTACAACTCCAATACCTTGGTTTGGCACAGCTTCGCACCTTTTTTCAAACCGAACGCCGTATCAGAGACGGTCTCATTCCACCACAAAATCGATCGACATCATCTCGGTAACTTGTGATTTTGACATGAAATGTATTGGTTTTGAAGGTTTATGTTTTAATTTATGAAGATGTATAAGGTGACTAGACATGGTCTTTCACGGTTTGATAAATTGTTTTTACCCAAATTGAAAGTGAAAATTTCACAAGCTTGCACTGAGTTTGCGGTTTAGGGTTTAGGCTGGTCTCCTCCTCTGAACTATGCACATTTAATGTAGATGGTGAAATTTTGGATTTTGAAGTTGAACGTCGATGCTGATTTTTCAGTTTGCGGTGGGGCTAGGGGCCAGTTTGTTAACACTGAGGTCCACCCCCGTTGTAGATTAGTTAATTCTTTCACAGTGTAAGGCTTTATTTGCTGAATTTGGTAAAATGAATATCGTCTCTGTTTCTGTTTTTCAGTTGAACTGAAATGTTGATTTTTGAGTTTTAACATTGAACTTAGATGTTGGAGTTTCGATTTTTCAGTTGAACTTGGATGTTGATTTCTCAGTTTCAACATTTAACTTAGATGTTGAATTTTTTGGTTTTTCAGTTTAACTTAGATGCTGAGTTTTCAGTTTACATTTAACTAAGGGAGATTGTAAATCCCGTTTCAGAATCTGTGTAAATTATCACTAGCTCTGAACGATTTTTCTTGAATAAGTGCTTTTTTATTTTTTTTCTTCTTTTTTTTTTCTATTTATTTGTTCCTTGTAGCTTTAAGTTTATGACCTGCTGAAGCCTTCATAAATTGCTTATCTTGAGAGCTTTATGATACAAATAGGTAAGATTCATTTTTGAAGTACTTAAGAATTGTGGTCGGAATCCCTTTGAAATGTATTTATGGAAGGATGAGTCAGGAGAAATGGGCAGCGATATACTCTCAATTTTGTGAGAAGACTTCAGTTTTGTTTGCCACTGATGTTGCTTCAAGAGGGATTGGTTTCAACAAAGACTGTAATGTGGTAACCAATGTTCGAATCTCAAGTGCGTCTTAATAACGACGAAGAATTGTTTACGTAGGTTGTAGAACTAGTTATGTATCAATATCGCATGACATTTTGTATTATATATATATATATATTTGTAAGCATGAATGTGTATTACCGAAATGTTGCCTTAATTTTGCTTTAAGTTGTTAATGTGCATGTTTCAGTCTTAGTATAAGCCACTTTTACTAGAGATTACCTACATGACATCTCCAAAGAATAAGCTATGAATTGGATTGAAGGGGGTAAAGTAAAATAAGAAACTGACTTGCAAATCAGAAAAGTAAAATTCATTTTACAGTTGCACATATTAAGTACTAATGGCATAGATACAAATAGTGATGCCAAAATAAGCCCTATATAACTAGCAAAATAAAACTTGGTTCAATTAAGTGGGGCCACTACTATGATCTAAATGTTGTCGTTAAGGAGCTGGCAGAACCTCGGGAGCACCGTCCGGGATATTACTATGACTTGGTGTTGGACTTTTACCTTTCGAGTGATTCTATTGTGCCTACACATGCAACATAACAAGCTAAAAATCATTGCTACCTGTTTGAGGAAATCGGCTCCAAAAGCACAAGTGACCTTCAACGAACCTTTCACTCTTTTGTTGAATACCGCCAAGGGATTGTCTGGATGCTCAGTTCGAATCCTTCTAACTTCCTGAGACGTGAAACTATACAAAATTTAGTACATGAACATTGAACAGAGGACATCAGAACCAAACAATTATCCTTAAACTAGAGGGTACAAATATGTGTGTTACCTCTTTAACAGATGTGCAACGATCCAAATACGATGCCTCAGTCTTCCTCAGCGCTTCGGATAGAGCTTTCAGCACCCTCAAATGGTTAATAATATTATTTCCTCGAACCACATCAACCTCCAAATTACTCAATTTCTCCCTTAATTTTCTTTCCAATTCCACTCTTTCCTTAGTATCCAAACTCTTGGACATAAACGACTGACTATTGATGGTGTTTTCGCACGATTCTGACTTGTCGAACCATAATAATCCCTTAAGCTCCTTGTAAACATTGAAATAAAGATTGTTTAACAAGAAATCAGTGGCATCAGGTCCACTAAAACCATCATAAATGCCAACAAAAACAAATCCATGTTCCTCAAAAATCACAATATGTACTCTATCTTCACCAACTTTTCCATGTGCCCACTAACATTTTGACTCCCACAGGATTCATTTCCAACATCATTATCATCAGTTAAGCTTACTTCGCTACTCAAATCATCATTTAAAATGACATTGGGACATCAGAAAGTAATTTGGAGAGGGAAAAATTGAAAAAAAAAGCTCACTGTAAGCTAGAAATATCTACCTTAACTTCGATTTTTTTCAATACTACATTTTGTAAAAGAGATGGCAACGTGTGCTTTTAAAAAGCCTTCAAATGATGATTGTAAAATGGCTCCTACGAACAACTCCAATCTTGGACGAAGGTAAAGTTTACCCTAAAACCACACATTCTTACCGACATTTGCAACGACACAGTTCCGGAGATGGAGAACATGGTTGGATTGTAAGAAACACGCCACTTGCCGTCCAATTTAACAATAATGTTACACTTACAGAAATTTCATCACAGAAGTCTTACATAATTTCAAAAATTCTGATGTGGCACTGCAAGATTCATTATTTCCTGACAGCCACCAACCGCCCCCTTTTACCCACCCACCTAACCACAACCTAACACAGCCACCCCTTCCCTTTTTCCTTATTTATTGTCTCAAATTTCGAAATTATTACGTGAATGTTAAATAAAGTCAAAATATTGCATCCTTAACACCAGCGTGCGAAACGGCCAACCATAGCAAAAGTTACCACTCGTCGAAATAGACTGTTCCAAAATATATAAATTTTTTTTATTATTTTTATCAAAATTTTCGGGGTAATCACGGGTTGTCAAACAAAATCAAAATCTCGTATTCTTAAGAGTTAACACCATTTCGAAGTACTCACGAGCTAATTTATTGCAACCCTAACTGCGTGCGAAACGGCCAACCGTAGCAAAAGTTGCCACTCGTCGAAATAGGCCGTTCCAAAATATATAAATGTTTTTTCTTATTTTTATCTCAATTTTTGGGGTTATCACGAGATGTCAAACGAAATCGAAATCTCGTATCCTTAACACCATTTCGAAGTACTCACGGGCTAGTTTATCGCATTCTTAACCGCGTACGAAACAGTCAACCGTAACAAAAGTTACCACTCGTCGAAATAGGCCGTTCCAAAATATATAAATATTTTTTTCTTATTTTTATCTCAATTTTCAGAGTTATCACAGGATGTCGAACGAAATCAAAATCTCGTATTCTTAACACCATTTCGAAGTACTCACGGGCTAGTTTATTGCAACCCTAACCGCGTGTGAAACGGCCAATCGTAACAAAAGTTACGACTCGTCAAAATAGGAATACAAAAATACAATATTTGCTAAGGTTGAAAATGCATAGTTTGACGATTGGTAACTTTTGCTACGGTTGATTGTTTCACACGCGATTTGGGTTGCAATAAACTAGCTCGTGAGTACTTCGAAATGGTGTTAAGAATACGAGATTTCGATTTCGTTCGACATCCCGTGATAACCCTGAAATTAAGATAAAAATAAGAAAAAAACATTTATATATTTTGAAACGGCCTATTTCGACGAGCGGTAACTTTTGCTAGGTTGGCCGTTTAGCACACGGTTAGGGTTGCAATAAATTAGCCCGTGAGTACTTTGAAATGGTGTTAAGAATACAATATTTCAATTTCGTTTGACAGCCCGTGATAACCCCGAAAATTGAGATAAAAAAAAGAAAAAACATTTGTATATTTTGGAACGGCCTATTTCGACGAGTGGTAACTTTTGCTACAATTGACCATTTCACACGTGGTTAGGGTTACAATAAACTAGCACGTGAGTACTTCGAAATGGTGTTAAGAATACGAGATTTCGATTTCATTTGACAGCTCGTGATAATATGAAAAAAACATTTATATATTGTGGAACAGTCTATTTCGACAAGTGATAACTTTTGTTACGATTAGTCGTTTCGCACGCGGTTAAAAATGTGATAAATTAGGTCGTGAGTACTTAGAAATGGTGTTAAGGATGCAATATTTCGACTTTACTTAACATTCACATGATAATTTCAAATTTTGAGACAACAAATAAGGAAAAAGGTAAGGGATGTTGTGTTGGGTGGGTGGGTAAAGGGGACGGTTGGTGGCTGTCAGGAAATAATGAATAATGAATCTTGCAGTGCTACATTAGAATTTTTGAAATTATGCAATACTTCCCTAATAAAATTTCTATACATGTAGCATTATTGTTGCAATCACACTCTGCTTCTTTAAAAACAAAGGGATTGCTACGATCGACTGTGTTGATTCATCACTGCGTAAAGGTGGGTGGTTTTCTTTTGTTATGCAATTTTCATTTTTAGTTGGTCTTTAACAGACAATCATGCAATTTTTGTTGTATTATAGTTTAAAAAATTTCTTTTTTTCTTTTCTTTTCTTTTCAATCGAGAAAATCACTGTATTTTTCAATTAAGATTTGAGTCTCTTCATCAAGGTTGATTTTATAGTCCTCTGCAAAACACTTTCCCGATTTAAGAAAGCAAATAGAGAATTTATAGAACCCCAAAAAGGCAATACTGGGCTTTATAGAACATGATTATGTTCTTAATAGTTTTCCACTAATTGTCAACCCAACTGTTCGTTCGTTCTATAATTTCAATTTGTGCGCATTTTCTCATCAAAATGTTTTTTTTTTTTTGGGTTCATCAATGCACTTTTTTATTATTAGTTCATTTAAAAAGATTTTGCATTTGTCTTTCTTTTTAATTGAATTAATTGTAGGATTACGTGATTCTAGGTTTGTTTTTCTGTATATATATGCTCCATTGTTTCTGTTGTTGCTATCTAATCTGTTGAGGTGGAAATTAACATATTTGTTTTGATGTATCTTCTCCCCCCAACTCTCGCCTCTTTTTACATAGGCATCTCTTTTTACGTGTCGTGTCGTATAAACGCAGCTTAGTTTATTGTAATTAGTGACTTCTACAACAAGGGCAATGGCTTCTGAGGGAGGTGAAAAGGACATGGTTATCATTCAAATTGGCGTTGGTGGGTTTGAAGATTTTGTCACTACCAAAATGCTGATGGACTATTTCGAAGATAATTTTGGACTGGGGAATAATAGGGGCCAAACGGGGGCATAATATTAACCAACTATGATTTAATTTCCTTTGAAGGCAACTTATCAGAGAATATTTCTTCTTATGGATTAAGTCAAGCCCAAGGAAGTCTCGATCCAGCTCAAACATAAGTCAATTGAGTATCAACCTAAGCCGAGCATATTGCCTTACAAAGGCTGAGTAGATCCCTAGTGACTCTTAACCTCATTCAAGTATAAAATTAATGCCGAGTCAAGTCCAAGAAAGTCTTGATCATGCTTGAGCAACACTAATCCTAATTATAGAGCCGACCCTTAGGGACTTTCAACCTTGTTCAAGCATAATTTCTCCTAAGGCTAATTCGAGCAAAAGCAAGTCTACAATGTCGTTTGAAAATGATCAAGGAACGAATCAAGCTTGAGGGGTATCGACCTTGTTCGAGCATTTTCACCCTAAGAGTCAACTCAAGCTAAAGTGAGGCTCAATCACATTGGAGCATTTTTAAGGGCTAACTCTAGTTCAAACTACTCTCAACATCATTTAAGCATAATTTTATCCTTAAGGCCAAGTCAAATGAAAATATGGGGATCATTTAGTTAGAGCTTTAGGAATCCTAGCCAAATCTAACAGTCACATACGCTCGTTTATTTGTTCGTGCATATCTACCATAAGTTGAGAGAAAAATAAAAGAAAACAAATTAAAATGATAGAGACACAAACCTGGCTTAGGTGCAAAGAGAAGTTCCTTCAAGTTCGATTTTTTTTTTGTAATTAGCCTTCCAAAGGCTGAAAGGTTGGCACAATGATGCATTACAACCTGCTGACCAGGATGATTGACCAGTTGATTTATTCTTTGATTATTGAATTGGTACAAAGTCGTGTTTCTCCCTTTTGTTTGAAATGGACGCTCGTGATGTTGCCAAGTGTCATCTCCGAGACCGCTGAATAGAGACATTTGGGTGACTCATATAAAAGGCCTCCAAGGGTTGGAACTGTGTAACTCCCTCTCTGATTTCTTTTTCTGCGACGTCCGAGCTCTTGACTCTCATTCTCTCTGAAATTCAAAACACTATTTTTATTTTGGGGTTTCTCTCAAGTGTTGTAATCTTGAGCGATTTCTAGTTTGAGTTGAATGCGATTTTCTTATGTGAACAAGTGTTCTTGAATGAAGCCTTATTTACTGTGATCTTTTAAGGGTTTTGTCTGAGTGTCTAGATCTATTCATTTTACCTTGGTTGTGTTCCATTCTGAATGACAGTGGTTGTTTTTTCAATGACTGAGGCACTGGTGTAAATTGGGTTTTATCTTAGGGCAACGATTAATGAGATTCCTTTCTTTTAGTATTTTCTTTAGTTCTTACTTGTGTATATTTTTATTAATCTTGAGCTAATATTTTGAACCTTCTCTTAACAGTGGTATCAGAGTGGTTGTACGGAGGTTCTTGACTCTGATTCTTGTAGATCTGCTAGTTGTGACACTAGTTTAAGCTGCTCTTCGTTGTTTTTTGAAACCCTAATAAGGGGATCTGGTGAGATCGTTTCTATTTTACGGTTAATAGTACAAATTAAGTGTTTATAATCTTTAAGTTCTTTGTAGTTGAGTTTTAAAACCTGATTCGTGACTATCTTGATAATCCCTTTGTCCAGAAACCTTAGAGTTGTCTGGAATCTGAGGGTTACTTTGAATTTTGTCAAGGATCTTGATATTATTACTCTGCTGTGATCTTAATTGATGTTTAATAAATGCTAGTGGTGTTTTGTACTTGATTTGTGTTGAATTTAACACTATGATCGTATTATTGTGAACAATCTATTGTCTGTGAAATAATTGAAGTTTCTTTTATAACTTGCAATTACTGTATATTCCATGTGTCCCTTGTGTAGTGATACTTGGTTTAATTTTTGCTAGCACCTGTATAGTGTCTGTCTCATCTGTATATACTTCACTGCATTCAATTTTTTTTAAATGACTAGCTCAAAATTTGAACGGGAAGTTTTTAATGGTAAATGAGACTTTAGTCTCTGGCGCTAGAAAATGAAAGCTCTTTTATTACAACAAAAATGTGCTAAAACCATTGATGAGTCATGGTCAACTGATCTTGAAACAAGTAAAGTAACTAAACAAGATGAAACTGCATAGAGCTCTATCTTTCTGCATCTATCTGATAATGTACTTAGAGAAATTGGAGAAACTAAGATTGCTGCTGAATTGTGGAAGAAATTGGAAACCATGTATTTGAACAAAACCATGCCTAAGAAGGTCTATCTTTTGAAACAATTCTTTGGTTTTAAACTGGACCTATCTCTTGACCTTGAAACAAATGTTGATAGATTCAACGAATTATCTC